GTTAATTTGCCACAGGTTAACTTCACTTGAAGTGTAGTAACATCTACAAGCAATATGAATGCTGAGCTAAATTTCAACTGTCCCAGATAAGGGTATGCATACTTAATACTTATGGAATCATTTTAGTTTTTTATTTTTAATATATTTGCAAAGATGTTAAAAACTTGTTTTTTGCTTTACCATTATGGTGTATGGAGTGTAGATTGATGTGGGAAAAAAGTCATTTAAAGCAGTTTAACATAAGGCAGCGACATAACAAAACGTGAAAAAAAGGATGGGGTATGAATAATTTCGCAAGGCACTGTATGTGCGCGTGTGTGTGTTTCTGTTTGCGCACAGCTTTCCCTGTCAAACAAATAAAAAATCTAAATATCAGGTTGGATCGGGAAATGTTGAGAATTTCTCCCCTCCGCGTCTCCACGCAGCACAGCAGTGTAGCACACATTGATCGGCACATCACAGTCACAGTCAGGCAGAGAGCCGCAGAAGTGAACCCCTCCCTCCCGTTCCAGTAGTGTTTGTATTGGTGTGGAGGTGAGTGGTGATGAACAACATACTAAGCTACCTGTGCCTTATTGGTGTGGAGGTGAGTGGTGATGAGCAACATACTAAGCTACCTGTGCCTCGAATTTACAGCTAATTATCCAAAAGACAAAAGCTAAATATAGCTAATTTGTCTTGCTAACATCCATGACTCAGCTGTACGTTAGCTAAAGTTTAGCTAAGGCAATAGGAAGTCTAGTAGGTTACACCAGTGCTCGTTCTTTCACTGCATGATTCAGTTTATTAAAATGCATTTAGATTGATCACAAAATTCAAGACATGGGGGCAGAAATGTATATATTTATATAATTTCATATAGTTAATCAGTATCACACGAAGACTTTATACAGCAGTTCAATAAACAAGAATGTAATACACTTACATTAGACACAATTGACTGCTTTTGCTCTATTTCGCCAGCAAATATAATTCCAATTTGAATCTCTGAGCAACATGACAGTGTTTCGTTCCTGAATGAATCAACCGTTTAAATTATTCGGTTCAATCGCAATGACT